ACATCAGAAATGGATATTATATAATATATGCTTTTTTGAACATTATATTAAAAAACATATTGAACATATTTAAAAAGGACTTTTTACACGGCACCCCTGCTCTCGACAGACGGCACCCCGGTTGGGAAACACTGGTGTAGAGTATCTCACATAAATACAGTCAGTTATGGATTAAGTGAACGTACACAGGTGGGTGAAAACTGAACGTGTGTCAGTATTACATGCATGCCTTCCGTCTTAATGGGACAGCATTCCTAATTAAGTACCTATCTGTGTCATTAATGTGAACCAACAAAAGATGATAAATAAATATGTTTTGATTCAAATTTCTCATAAGCTTAATTGATTTGGTCTAAAGAGAGAAGAATTAATGACTATTTTTGTTTGAAGACTACATATAAAATAGCTACCAAAATAAATGTTGGTAACTGCAGTTTGACTAAAAGTAATGACTAAAGGTTGACAAAAATGCAATGACTTTTCGTCGACTAAAACTATGAAAGACTCAAATGACTAAAATGTGACAGACATTTAAGCATTTAAATGCCTGTCAAAATTAACAATGCTATCTATCTATCTATCTATCTATCTACCTGTCCGTCCGTCCAACTAACTAGCTAGCTAGCTAGCTAGCTAGCAAAAAAGCTAAAATGAAATAATTGTGTAAATCCATAAATATATTTGACTATATGGCTTGAATTAACGCAGCTGGTTTGCTGCATGTACTGTACTGAAAATGACCCTCACCTTGGATATCCAAGTGTGTTTTACTGGCGTCTTGGTTTCTGTCGTTCCCGTATGCTGTCACGTATAAGAGCTATTCAAACGTCTCTGTGTGCGACAGCACAGCGCAGTGTTCCTCTCTGTCACTCGCAGCTGCTGCTTTTCCCACCACATTTCATCTGCTCTAAACGAAGCACAAGACGAGTCACTAAATTACTGTGCAGTGTGTTCCAGCTTCACTGTCTCTTTTTGTCTTTACACCTTTCCTCCTAAATAAAGATGCCTCACTCTAGTCGCATGGACCCTTCCCACAATCCCCTTCAGCAACAGCAGCATCAATCTCTCCATGGTAACTCCAACATGGGTGCCCCCGGTGGACCCATGCACTCCCGCAACTCCTCCCAGAATCCCCGGATGCACACAGACAGCTTTGGGCTGGGGGGCCCCGGGGGACCCGGCGACGTTTCAGAGCCGGCCCTTGATGTAAGTCAGAATCAATCATCTATTCCAGATCAAAGCAATGACTTTTGCCCATGGTGTCAACACTTTAAATCAGAGGTCTGCAGAGCACAACTGCCCGTTTCTGTGGGATTTTACTCTTATGTACACCCACTACCAACTTATAATGATCTTCTTCCCACCCGTTCTTGTTTAATTGAGGTCCCATGCATGCAGTTATGCATGTTTAAAGCTGTTCGTTCCCCTTTTCGGAAAGATTTAGCAAGCACTTTTGGGTAACGGCCAGCCCCACATCTGCTTTGGGATGCATTTGCGCTTATTAACTATTTTGGAATATTGGTTATAGTGTTCTACTCTTAAAGAGATAGTTCACCCTCATATCTATCCAAACCTGTATGACTTCGAAACAAAAAAGTGTCTCCATTGAAAGTCCAGATAATCAAAACTTAGAAGATCCAAAAAATGTCTTAAAATTGTATCCATGTAATTCAAGCTGTTTAATCCAAGTCTTGTAAAGAGATACAATCACTTTATATGTTGAAAAGATTTCATTTAGGCTTTTGTTCACATATGAACACACATACAGAGTGAATCACATCACTATAACAAATCTCATTGGTTTTCGCACATCATGGACGCATGTTTGAGCTTCCATGTTTACCATATGTGATGTGCTCTATGAATGTGTCAGTCATTGCTTAGCTGTAAATAAGTGTCTAAATTCAATCTGTTAATCAATTCAATTCATATGAATTGTTTTTGTGATGTGTTTTTGACCATTTTGGATCTTCTAAGTTTTTGTTACCTGCAGAGAAAGAAACATTCCAGATTTCATTAAAATTTCTTAATTTGTGTTTAGAAGATTAACCAAAGTCCCATGGGTTTGGAACGACATGAAGGTGAGTAAATGATGACAGCATATTCATTTTTGGGTGAACTATCCCTTTAACTCCCGTGATTAAAGCAATTCACAGATTTCCTGCAAAAATCAGTTCAAAAGATTCCATTTGAGCCTAGTGATTATTTAATAGATTCACAGACTTCGCAGCAATGTTGGAAACAGGACTGTTTTTGTGTTATAGAAAAATAACTGGCCATCTCCCCCTACAAATCATAAACGTACTTTTGCTGGCGCAACAAATCTCTAATTTAATCCCACGATAATGCAGACCTCTGCTTTGAATGTAATTTATAGGTAAATAATTCAGCATGTTTATGAAAAGCCAGCTATGTTGAATTTATTATTACCATTATAAACAGTTTTGAGTGTCGTTTATATTGCCTTAGGGTGGTTCTTAACTCTGGATTTCCCTATTTGTTTTCCAGCTTCTCCCAGAGCTGACAAACCCAGATGAGTTGCTGTCCTACTTGGGTCCTCCTGACCTTCCCAACAACAGTAACGATGACCTGCTTGCTCTGTTTGAGAGCAACTGAGCCCCCCGTCCCGCTCATTCATCAGTCACACATCGCCGTCCAACACACAGCCTCCCTAAACCCTCACACTCCCGACTCATCGAGGGGAGCTTTGGGAAGCCTAGCAGATATCCGATTACGTCTTTGCACTGTTTCCTCCTGAGACTGGAATGCAGTGACTCATGGGAAGGTGCAACGAAGATCTTTCTTTTTTTTTTCTTCCTCCTGTGACAATGTTACTGTTCGTCTGCTTCTCTGAACTCTGTCGAGATTTTATTGTGAATTTCAGTTTGAAAGAGTTCCCGCTCTTCTCTCGAATCATTTGTAGAAAGATGCCTCATCTCACATCAGACTCGTGTGGTGTAAATGACATTGTGTGGGGTGGGTCATTGTTCGTTTTTTCATTGCAGCTCCTGTTTTCAATCTAAATTAGATGAGGAATTCACTTCAGTGCTGATCTAAAGTACTACACTTCAGAAATCACACGGGGAAAGCCAAAGTGTCTCTGTTGTAACTTGAGAAAAACAAACGGATGAACGTAATTCTCTTAATAAACAGGCAGACTTTATTTCTTTATTTTTATTTCAGTTTTATTTCTTCCTTTTTTTTGCCCAGAGATGACCACAAACTAGCTCCATGTGACGTATCATGGTTTTAAACCACAAATGACTTGATCTTAAGTGAACTTTACTTGAAGAAGACCTCAAGTGTAGCCTTTTTCCTTTTAAACGTGCTAATAGAGGCAATCACAATGTGTCAGACCTTAAACAGTAGCATTAAAGAAGTGCATTATTACATTTTGCACACACACCGAGCCCTTCAAGAGTTACTGTATTTCCCTTCACACGAAGGAAATTGAAGGCAAAGAGTCATCTTTTGTGACACCCACACACAGGTGGGTGAAAACTGAACGTGTGTCAGTATTACATGCATGCCTTCCGTCTTAATGGGACAGCATTCCTAATTAAGTACCTATCTGTGTCATTAATGTGAACCAACAAAAGATGATAAATTAAATATGTTAAGTAAACCTACTGTATCTGAAAAATGAGTTTCATTTGTATCTCTTTCGTATTTGTTTTATTGTCTTATTCTGCTTCTTTTTCAAAAAATATAAATTATATATATTATATATGAACAACTATCATTTTTATAAGTTGCTCCCTTTTCACAACTGTTAAAAGGATAGTTCACCCAAAAATTAAAATTGTCATCATTTATTCAAGTTTTTCCAAATTCAATCCTTGATTCAAATCTCTCATAAGCTTAATTGATTTGGTCTAAAGAGAGAAGAATTAATGACTATTTTTGTTTGAAGACTACATATAAAATAGCTACCAAAATAAATGTTGGTAACTGCAGTTTGACTAAAAGTAATGACTAAAGGTTGACAAAAATGCAATGACTTTTCGTCGACTAAAACTATGAAAGACTCAAATGACTAAAATGTGACAGACATTTAAGCATTTAAATGCCTGTCAAAATTAACAATGCTATCTATCTATCTATCTATCTATCTACCTGTCCGTCCGTCCAACTAACTAGCTAGCTAGCTAGCTAGCAAAAAAGCTAAAATGAAATAATTGTGTAAATCCATAAATATATTTGACTATATGGCTTGAATTAACGCAGCTGGTTTGCTGCATGTACTGTACTGAAAATGACCCTCACCTTGGATATCCAAGTGTGTTTTACTGGCGTCTTGGTTTCTGTCGTTCCCGTATGCTGTCACGTATAAGAGCTATTCAAACGTCTCTGTGTGCGACAGCACAGCGCAGTGTTCCTCTCTGTCACTCGCAGCTGCTGCTTTTCCCACCACATTTCATCTGCTCTAAACGAAGCACAAGACGAGTCACTAAATTACTGTGCAGTGTGTTCCAGCTTCACTGTCTCTTTTTGTCTTTACACCTTTCCTCCTAAATAAAGATGCCTCACTCTAGTCGCATGGACCCTTCCCACAATCCCCTTCAGCAACAGCAGCATCAATCTCTCCATGGTAACTCCAACATGGGTGCCCCCGGTGGACCCATGCACTCCCGCAACTCCTCCCAGAATCCCCGGATGCACACAGACAGCTTTGGGCTGGGGGGCCCCGGGGGACCCGGCGACGTTTCAGAGCCGGCCCTTGATGTAAGTCAGAATCAATCATCTATTCCAGATCAAAGCAATGACTTTTGCCCATGGTGTCAACACTTTAAATTAGAGGTCTGCAGAGCACAACCGCCCGTTTCTGTGGGATTTTACTCTATGTACACCCACTACCAACTTATAATGATCTTCTTCCCACCCGTTCTTGTTTAATTGAGGTCCCATGCATGCAGTTATGCATGTTTAAAGCTGTTCGTTCCCCTTTTCGGAAAGATTTAGCAAGCACTTTTGGGTAACGGCCAGCCCCACATCTGCTTTGGGATGCATTTGCGCTTATTAACTATTTTGGAATATTGGTTATAGTGTTCTACTCTTAAAGAGATAGTTCACCCTCATATCTATCCAAACCTGTATGACTTCGAAACAAAAAAGTGTCTCCATTGAAAGTCCAGATAATCAAAACTTAGAAGATCCAAAAAATGTCTTAAAATTGTATCCATGTAATTCAAGCTGTTTAATCCAAGTCTTGTAAAGAGATACAATCACTTTATATGTTGAAAAGATTTCATTTAGGCTTTTGTTCACATATGAACACACATACAGAGTGAATCACATCACTATAACAAATCTCATTGGTTTTCGCACATCATGGACGCATGTTTGAGCTTCCATGTTTACCATATGTGATGTGCTCTATGAATGTGTCAGTCATTGCTTAGCTGTAAATAAGTGTCTAAATTCAATCTGTTAATCAATTCAATTCATATGAATTGTTTTTGTGATGTGTTTTTGACCATTTTGGATCTTCTAAGTTTTTGTTACCTGCAGAGAAAGAAACATTCCAGATTTCATTAAAATTTCTTAATTTGTGTTTAGAAGATTAACCAAAGTCCCATGGGTTTGGAACGACATGAAGGTGAGTAAATGATGACAGCATATTCATTTTTGGGTGAACTATCCCTTTAACTCCCGTGATTAAAGCAATTCACAGATTTCCTGCAAAAATCAGTTCAAAAGATTCCATTTGAGCCTAGTGATTATTTAATAGATTCACAGACTTCGCAGCAATGTTGGAAACAGGACTGTTTTTGTGTTATAGAAAAATAACTGGCCATCTCCCCCTACAAATCATAAACGTACTTTTGCTGGCGCAACAAATCTCTAATTTAATCCCACGATAATGCAGACCTCTGCTTTGAATGTAATTTATAGGTAAATAATTCAGCATGTTTATGAAAAGCCAGCTATGTTGAATTTATTATTACCATTATAAACAGTTTTGAGTGTCGTTTATATTGCCTTAGGGTGGTTCTTAACTCTGGATTTCCCTATTTGTTTTCCAGCTTCTCCCAGAGCTGACAAACCCAGATGAGTTGCTGTCCTACTTGGGTCCTCCTGACCTTCCCAACAACAGTAACGATGACCTGCTTGCTCTGTTTGAGAGCAACTGAGCCCCCCGTCCCGCTCATTCATCAGTCACACATCGCCGTCCAACACACAGCCTCCCTAAACCCTCACACTCCCGACTCATCGAGGGGAGCTTTGGGAAGCCTAGCAGATATCCGATTACGTCTTTGCACTGTTTCCTCCTGAGACTGGAATGCAGTGACTCATGGGAAGGTGCAACGAAGATCTTTCTTTTTTTTTTCTTCCTCCTGTGACAATGTTACTGTTCGTCTGCTTCTCTGAACTCTGTCGAGATTTTATTGTGAATTTCAGTTTGAAAGAGTTCCCGCTCTTCTCTCGAATCATTTGTAGAAAGATGCCTCATCTCACATCAGACTCGTGTGGTGTAAATGACATTGTGTGGGGTGGGTCATTGTTCGTTTTTTCATTGCAGCTCCTGTTTTCAATCTAAATTAGATGAGGAATTCACTTCAGTGCTGATCTAAAGTACTACACTTCAGAAATAACACGGGGAAAGCCAAAGTGTCTCTGTTGTAACTTGAGAAAAACAAACGGATGAACGTAATTCTCTTAATAAACAGGCAGACTTTATTTCTTTATTTTTATTTCAGTTTTATTTCTTCCTTTTTTTTGCCCAGAGATGACCACAAACTAGCTCCATGTGACGTATCATGGTTTTAAACCACAAATGACTTGATCTTAAGTGAACTTTACTTGAAGAAGACCTCAAGTGTAGCCTTTTTCCTTTTAAACGTGCTAATAGAGGCAATCACAATGTGTCAGACCTTAAACAGTAGCATTAAAGAAGTGCATTATTACATTTTGCACACACACCGAGCCCTTCAAGAGTTACTGTATTTCCCTTCACACGAAGGAAATTGAAGGCAAAGAGTCATCTTTTGTGACACCCACACAAATACACACACGCACACCTCAGTTTTGGCACAAACTCAAGACTAATTTTATGCCACACCCTGTTCTCTGTTTTCGTCTCTCTTCTTGTTAGTTTCTTTCCCCCTCAATGTTCTTTTTAACAACGGTCTTCCTCCCCTGTGGGTTTAAGGCCACGAGGTCTGGAGTTCTAGCATTACGGAAAAAGGACTAGAATCTGTGATTGTCATCGGCTCAAATCACACCCTCACTTGTGGACACATTTCACTTGCCCTTAAATATGCAAGTTTGGGCTGTTATTTGGTAGAAATTCAGTTTTCTTCGTCAACAAAATGTGTGAAGCTTTGAAACCAGACAGAGCACAAGCAGCCCTGTAGCACCTTGTAGACAAGTTATAAAACACAAATGCACACAAGGACATTTTTTGGACAAACACCTTCCCGTAGTGAGATTTTGCTCTGACAAATCTGGGTGGGTGGGAGCGTCACAACAGGAAATGGACTAATGTTTATAGCCACACTCGTAATTGAGGAGGAAAACATTGGGATTCATGTGAAATATGTACAGATATAGTATTATTATTGTCACAGATGTGAACTTTCTCTTAACCCCATGATATGGAGAAAAAAAGGACATTTTAAACACTATGACAAGAGGTCATGTCAGGCATTCCCCCCCCGTTTTCCATTCAGCGCTCGCTTTCTCGGCGTGGAGGGGAGATGAGTCTGCGGTCGATTGCTGTCTTGTCTGATTTTATTATTTATCATTGCTCTTTGGGCACCATTAGCGAAGTGCAGTTTGTATATTAACAATACAGGGAGTATCAAGAGTCGTCGGATATGCTTTTCTTCTTCTTTTTTTTTTTATTGTTTGAAGTCATTTGTGTATCATACAATTTTATCTTTGATTATATAATAATTGTTATTATAATTATAAAGATAATTGATGGGCCTGTATGCATCTCTCTTCTGTGTTAACTAGCAGAGTTTATGAATTTGTTAGAAAGAGAAAAAAAAATGAATTCACCATCAAAATCTGTGACCATGATCATGAAAAACTGAGAAACCAGCATCACTTGATCAAACTGTTCAAAAAGATGTTTGACTGTCATGTGTTGGTGGATCACTAAGTTCTATCAGTTGAATTAAACATGTACAATTGAAATCGATTTGTTTTTCTAAAGATGTGAAATATTTCCATTATGTTTTATAAGTAAAGACTTAAGCCCCATTGCGTTTCATTGGCTTTATTTGGAGAGAGCAGAGCAGCACCGCATTGTGACAAGACGCGGGAACACAAGGGGGCGTGTCCGGACAAAGGTGCGTGTCATGCAAGAAGACGGGCGTACTGAGGAGGGGGGAAAAAAGCTTTTTGTGTAACTCGGTTCGCTTCGTATCTTTCACTAATGAGTTGACACATCAATTAGGACTCCATAATTTAGGAAATGTAGAAACAAATAAATTTAACCCTCTAACATTCGTTATCCGTGATAACATTTTGTGCCGTAATGGCGAATTCAGCTGCTGGCCACCGCCCTCGCGCCATTACAGACCGCTGGTACACGCCCACACTATTCCCTCGTTGCTCATTGGATGGAACGCAGTAATGTAATTTATATCTACTCTTACGGGCCAATGAGGATGTCGAACAAACGCCCTCCCTCTGAACCTTGCGTTCGAACGCCGCGGTAATTTATTCATCCGCGCCGCCTCTGATTGGACAACGCGCACGTCATTCAGCGGATCCACGGCTTCATAGGTTCCAATTGAAAAAAAGGGCTGCTGGCAGCTTCAATATATTCCGTTTTCGCACGCGTCCTACTTCCCGATGAGCTGCGGCATTTTGTAGGATTCGTTCGGTGACCAGCTACTAATACAAATAGGTTTTTTTTGCCATCATGGCCAATCCCAGAGTTTTTTTTGACATCACCATCGATGGAAAGAGTCCTGGGAGGATTGTAATGGAGGTAGGTCACAGAAAGTGACTGAATAGCGGTTGATGCCAGAAAAAATAATGTCTTTTGCATTTGCATCATCCAGTCATTATAGAATCTAATAATTGCTTCCATTAAAATAAATTTAAAAGCCTGTCGTGCGTGTAATGTGACTGTTTTAGCATCACTCATTTGAAATAGGTGGATGGGGGAAGCAATTTTGCTTGCCGCGTGCCGAGCAGCAACATTGTTACATTTCGCTGTTTATCAGATGCTCTAATGTTGCCGGTTGTGATTGACACGGAACGCCGTCCGTCGATCTGAGCCAGACTCTGACAGAATGCTGTCATTGACAGGAGAGACTGACAGCTGAGCGCACGCGGCGGAGTTTTCAGTGATTACAAGCGCAGGCTGCGCGTATGGAGCGATGCACACCACTTTTTTTTTTAATACGGACGCCATTTTCACCATTTTTTCATAACCCAAAGATGCCATTTTGAAAAGGGAGGGGTGAATAGTGGAGTTTGTCTAGCTGGCTAGCGAAACTTGTTCACCAGAACTGAATTTATTGCATCCCAGCGCTGTCATATTTTCACTTCTTCCCAAATTATAAGTAATGAAATTGATTTTGAATGCGCAGACCTAATCAATAAGCGACTGGCGTTACATTTTGACTCGGTACTGCAGAAATGTCAGTCAATGCACTTGTGCAGAGTAACTCGCGAGCTCTGGTGAATGTCGATGTTTGCAGAGAAACGCGGAAGTCACGAGTTTAACCTGTTTTACGTCACACCAGTAGAACCCGCTTTGTCCTGCTATTGTTTTCGTATTTTAAGTTATGGTATAAAATCTATGCTTACTCGTTGTCAAATGGGAAAAGGTCACTACCTTCATACTTTAGCAAGAAATATTAAAGTCACTGCAAAGCCTTTAATTTATCCTTTGATTAATTCAAAATGTACAAGACTTTTACATGTACAAGATTTTTTTTAAATCACTATTTTATCTCATTATTCATGGTTGCCTTTTATTTCTTTTTCTGTGTTCATTGTTTAAAATGTTGCATTAAAGTTTTGGTAAAAGTGAATCTTCATGCATAGAAGTGAAAAAGTACACATTTATGCAGTTAAATTGTGATTTTATTTTAAATGCAGTATATGTGTGTGTGTGTATATATATATATATATGTATATGTTGATGTTCTCAAAATGGCCAATTATTTTCTAATTAATTTAAATATTTAGAAACAGAAGTCCATTGATATTTACACATATACTTTGCATATAAGCAGTTTTCTGTTAAGTAAGCTTGGACATCAGCTTAATTTCTATTTCTGGTTTTCCCCCTCCTTTTGAAACAGCTGAGAGCTGATGTTGTACCCAAAACTGCCGGTAAGTATCTTTTTTCCACATTAAATGGGTTTCTTATAAATAAATGTGGACTCTGTTTTCTCATGCATTAATGTCTCCATATCTACACAGAGAACTTCCGTGCTTTGTGCACTGGTGAGAAGGGTTTTGGCTACAAGGGCTCTGGCTTTCATCGTATCATCCCCAAATTCATGTGCCAGGTAAGATCTGAACCCCGTCATGTTATCAGACGCAATGATTTCCGCTCGCACTGATGTCGGTCGATGTCACTCCTGATGTAGGGTGGCGACTTCACCAACCATAATGGAACTGGTGGAAAGTCCATCTACGGCAACAAGTTTGCGGATGAGAACTTCACCCTGAAGCATGGAGGGAAGGGAACCCTGTCCATGGCCAATGCCGGACCGAATACCAACGGCTCCCAGTTCTTCATCTGCACTGCTGATACTACTTGGTAAACGGCTTCTTTGAGATTACTATTTTAATGTTAGATAAGAATCTTTAACATCCTTGGAACCTTTCTATTGCACTAAAGGTTCTTTAGAGCAGTGGTTTTCAAACCTCTCCATGAAGTACCCCCAGCACTGCACGTTTTGAATGTCTCCCTATATCTGACACACCCTCTTCAGGTCTTGCAGTCTCCACTAATGAGCTGATGAGTTGAATCAGGTGTGATAGATGAGGGAGACATACAAAATGTGCAGGGCTGGGGGTACTCCAGGACAGGTTTGAGAACCACTGCTTTAGAGTATAAACCGTTTAGAGCATTTCAATTTGATGTTAGTGCTAAAGTTCTTTGTTTCTCCAGGCTCGATGGCAAACACGTTGTGTTCGGGAAAGTGGTAGAAGGAATGAGCGTAGTGGATGCCATGGAGGCTAAAGGAAACAGCAGCGGGAAATGCTCTGCCAAGGTCGTGATTGCTGATTGTGGCCAACTTTAATTGTTTCTTACTCACCTCCCATTTCAACCAGGCACATTCCTCACTATATAGATTTTTTTCTTTTTATTGCCATTCCTGAATGAGATGCTTATTCCATGTGTCATGGTCCTGTTTTATGTATTCTGACGGTCCCCAGGACACAATCTGTTAAACATGGATTAAAGATGGATCAAGATTCCTTTCAACAGGTTTTTGTTTTCTTTCTTTTCTTGGAACAGACAGCTCAGCTCAATTGTTGTTAAAGAAATCTGAGATATTTCATTTAGCATGTGCTGATATGCTCTTGTAATAGAAGTCTTCAAAAGGAGCCCATTAAAGTCTGTTTTGGTTCTAAAATGGCAGCGTACTGCTGCAGTTCGTCCTAGTGGCCAGCTGGTGGCGGTACTTTATTAGTGCAGTGGTTCTCAACAGGGTTAACTAAAAATAAAACCATAAAACATTATTTGAAATGGCATCAATTAACTGGCTTTCTAACTAGCTTTTTATTTCAGCTAGCTGCTGAGGCAAAATTTTTCATTTAGTTTAAATTGATGTACTAAAATAAACTAGTAAACTAAAAAAAAATACACTACATAGAAAAACTATATTTTAATAAATATAATAAAACCATATATAAACACTTGGAAAACAAAATTACTAAAATTAGTCAAAATAGTAATGAAATGATACTAAAATAATGGTCTTGCTTTAAGTAAAAATTGATGTCTGTAAAATCCAACAATTATATGCATGTTAATATGTACCCTATTATTACCATAACCTGCATAGGCCCAGAAATATGCATGTTAAGTCCTATTTGATTCCAATTTAGCATTTGTTTTCTGTCCCACTAAATTTAAATGAATTAAATTCATTAAGTGAATACTTACAAAATATCTTGCATGCTAACACAGGACACAAAAAAAAAGAAACCCACAGTACTGTATGTAAACATTATGCAAACATTTTAAACCAGACATACAAAAAAACATTACAAATGATGCTTTGCAACAGCAGAGCTTTTAAATAAACGTCTTTTGTCTGAATTGTACAAGATTATTAGGTAAAAATGTCGCCCGTATCAGAGAACTTCATTCGAAGTTAACCTTAATGAGGTTCGAGTTTGGCAGAAAAGCAGGTTTAGAGCAGCTCATCCAGCAGGTTTCCCGGGCTGTGCGTTTGCCCCAGAGCAGCACTGATGGGGTTGTTGCATATGGGACATGAAGATCTCACTTCACCAGACACCTGGTAAGACAAATCAATAGAAACGCTTCTCAACAGTTAAGCTGAAATTACTCTGGCCTGTTCACACCAAGGACGATAACTATAACAAACTTAATCGTTCTAAATCATAGACTGTATAAAAACAGTTCTAAATCTACTAGAACATGGAAGTCCACACCACAACTATAATGATAGGGTGACCATACATCCGATTCTCCTATTTTTCTCTAAATTGCCTAAAATCATGTTTTTGTACGCGTATTTGCATTGCGACAGCGTTCTCTGTAGATCCCGCCTTCTCGCACGCCATGATTGGTCGATTATGTACAATGCCTGCACGCTATTGGTCAAACTACTTTTCAGTCATTGCCTTCAGCAAGCATGAAAACCTGGACATTTTGGGCCATTTAGAAATCCTGGCCAAGATATGTCCGGGAAAAAGAGGACGTGTATGGTGACCCTAAATAACGATAACGGCACAGAACGACTTTTCCCAGCTGATGGACGGTAAAAACATTGACAGCCAATCAGAATCCACCCTTAAAGCGAGAGACAGACATAACGGCGGTGCGTGCTCATAATAATAAACGTAGCGTTATCTTGCGTTTGTGTGTGGGCGCTAAAATAATTAACGTTACTTATCTTTATAGGTCTTGTTCTCGGTGCGAACGGGCTTTTAGAGTTACGAGGCACAGCCAGGGTGTGTTCGCTTCAATTAACCTCTTATTTACCTATAAACCTCTCTGGACCTTTATTTCATAGCATTAGCATGATAAAAGACATGGGAGGGATTTACCTCTCGTGAAAGGCGTGTTGGCATGGTAACACTCCACGCTCATCTTTTGTCCTGAAGTCCTCCAAACAGACTGCACATGTTAACTGAGAAAACAGGATGTTACAAGAGGGAAAATCAGAGGTTTAGAAGGTCTCAAAACTTCCCAAGTAGTCAAATAACTTTTATCTTTTTAATAACCTATAACTTAAGACAAAACTTTTACCCCATGTGCATGTAACCATGTTGTTTCATCTTCAAATACAACCTGTAATGCAAAACACAGTTGCTTATCTTATAGTGAGCAAAAAGTATTTAGACACAGTTGATTAATTTTGCAACATCAACAATTGAACCGAATTAAATGAACAATTAACTAACTCAAGCTGAATAATGACATTGTTGCCTTTTGTAGAGCTGCTTATAGCTGAAATAAACTCATGTGAACAGAATTGAACCAATACAGAACTGACTGGAGCCAAATAATGACATTATTATCTTAAGTAGAGCTGCTTTATAGCTGAAACTAAATCTCATATTTGAATTTTGCATAAATTATTCTATTATTTTCCTGTTGATACTGTGAAGCTGCTTCAAAACAATCTCTATTTTATAAAACGCTATATAAATACAGGTGACGACTTAATTGACACAAAAATGTCTGAAAGTCACTGCATTAAATAAAAAAAATCACAGAAAGTGTCATTCATTTAGAAATGGCACAAGCACACTTTCTAAGCACATTTTCTCTGTTGGCAAAGATCAGCTTGAAAATGTAATGTGTTTGAGGTTAGTGAATGTGTTGATAGTTTATGTGATTTTCTACACCTGTGGTTCCTCTAATAGGACACCTGTGTGAACCTGAGGAGAACTGACTTCAAACATCCACTAAAAATCACCGGCAGATTCAAAGCGAGACTTCAAACATGAAGAAAAGTGACATTAGTGAAGAGAAAAATCCTGCAGCATCTGAGACGTTTTTAAGTGTGATGTAAGTGTCAAATACCTTCTGATGATATCATTTATAATGTGCACTCATCATCTTGTATCCAGCTCTCACATGGCGAGCTTGATGTCTCAATTTACTGCAGAGAAAAACAGGCCAAACCATTCATTAACAAGGGTTGACTTTGTTAAAAAGAATTATTTCTAACTTAAAAAAAAAAAAAAAAAAGTATAAAAATTATAGAAATGTATTTTATTTGAAAATGTTCAATTTATTAATTTTTTTCTCTAGACATCAGTATGGCAGTACAGGCAAAGGTTGTGGTGTGTCGTATGTTTCTAAACACAAATTTGGCAAGTGAGGGTTTGTAGTTCTCGGTGTTTGACATGACATTAGCCAAAAGCCTTTGGTCAAAAATAGCATTGTGAACAAAAAGCACGGAGATACAATCTAGTCCTGAATTGTTCGAGTTTGGAAGCGCGTGAGGCCAGAGGAAGCCCCTTCTGCTCTGCAGCTGTCAGTCTGTCACAGGCGTTATTCACAGGAAAATACTGATGAAGTCCAGGCACAAAGAAGAGTTTTAGAAACGTTATCCAGGATCTGCATGGTCCAAACGGGCTGTTCTGTTAAACTATTACGGATTTAGTCTCAATATTACAGTCACACTTACCTTATAAAGAAGCAGCAGACTATCAGGCTTAAAACAAAGACAAAGATCCCAGTGCCAAAGATGACCACATCGATGTTGAGAGGTTCCTGAGAGGTCACTGGAGGCATGGTGTTTTAAATATCAATCATTTCCTGAAGATGAAAAAGAAGCCGTGAAAGAAGTCAAAAACAATTGATATGCCATTTATGGAAAATTAGTTGATTCTTTGTAAGACAACACAATATGATACCCATTAACAATGCAGTTTCATAACAATACGAGCCTTAGGGCAATATTTATCAAATTGTAAGGTTAGAAAACCAAAGAAAAAAAGCATTGAAAGTCTTAAAAGCAAACAGCATTTATTTCAAACATGTTAGCACTTTTTACAGATTAAAAAAAAACATTTTTTTAAATTTACAATGACATTAAATATTAATTTAAAAATAAATCTCACCATTATAAACAGGCTCCTGTGTGTCTTCACTTCACTGTTTATTCTTCATACTCGGATTTGTTGATTCTCACGGATCAAGCGTCAAATGAATCCCTGACTGTTTAGTCGCATCTACAGTTTTGAGAGCATGTAAATGTGAATAAAATAAACTCCCGACTGGATCACGGAGATCAAACAATGTAACGGACCGCAGAAAGACATAAATATCCACATGCACGAGAAAACAGTAAACCCGGCCTTTAATTCAGGAGGCGGAGCCTAAATATCAGACTCACTCATTATTCAGTGATTCACCTCTCATGTTAAAACTTCTCATGTTCATCAAAATAAATTGCACTATTATAAAAAGAAACCGTAATAATATAACATTATATGGTATAATTAGTATAAATATATTTAGTGTAATAGTATATTAACAGACTAGTATAGAAATATTAGTGTAAGTATAAATATAGGCTATATGTTTAAATGGTAGCTTTATTATACAACAGAAAACGTTTGTGACCTCTAAAATATATATATTTTTTTGCATGAATAGCTCTTAAAATATGATATTGTTTAAAAAAATCATAAATATTTCTTAACCCAGGTAAAGTTTATTTCAAACTGTTTTATTTGAAAATAAATAAATCACAGTCAAAGCCTCCTAATTTTGTTTTCCATTTAATTAAGCAAAATTATTTAAGAATCACAATAGACAAAGTCTGTTGTTTTTTAAACCTTTTTTAAAATCTTTTTATTGGTATTTAACAAGACAGTACATAATGATACAATCAGTAAAAATAAGAGATAGACAAACTAGTTATCTGAATTTTTTTGCAATATTAACCCCAGAGAAAATGAGATTTTAAAAGGCATGTTTAGGCAGAAATATGACCTGTTTAAAGGCAAATTTGGGCCAGTAGCTTTAGAGTCTTTGTATGCTGGGAGCTGATCATGTTGACTCGGTGAGTTATTTCTTCACACCCTCCTAACAAGTCTGACATTAGACACCATCAGACACCACAGTAAATTCACAGAAGATTCATTTATTGTTTAATATATGCCATGAGAGCGTTCCTGCTCATTGCATGACCGTACGACAGAATTATAAAGAGTTATTCTTAATTCTTTAAATAAAGAAAATTCAGTCCATTGCCAATTTTCAATTTTGCTCACTTTCTCGTTATGCTGGACATTCAGCTGTGTTGGGATTAAGAAAAAAAAAAAAAAAAACTTGGATCAACCTTAGTGCAACCCAGACCATAATATGTTGAACATAGTATGCCAAATGTGACAGTAGAAATGTTTTGTTTGTTTTTTTCATTTTATTTTATTGCTTTTTAACTACATAATTACTGGAATTAGGTGATTGTAAATATGTCTGTAGTGTAGACCATTTGTAGTTTCTCTTTTAACATTTTCAAATAACAAATGATTGATTCCTAGTCCTCCATGCTCCCTCACCAACTTCATTATTCACAAGCAAACAGCCCTAAACATTCAGTGGTTCTCTGTCAACTTTCAGCTCTGCTCTCTGACAAACAAGACTTTAACAAAGGTTAAATTACACCACAGTGCAACATTCAGACGAGACTTCAAAATTCTCTACTTCAATGTAAACTTAGAGTCAGCCTTCACAGGGACAGTGAGGCCAGATTTCATATTTCATAAGTCAGTCAATTTAAATGTGAATACTTTATCATGAAATTCAAAACATTTAAATTCAACATGCACTACATGACTTTGAATGACATGACCACATGATGGAGATATATTAAGGGTTCTCATCCGAAGGATGGTGCTTGTTGACAGTACAGTGTCCCCGTCACTATACTGGGGCGTTAGGACCCACACAGACCACAGGGTGAGCACCCCCTGCTGGCCTCACTAACACCTCTTCCAGCAGCAACCTAGTTTTCCCAGGAGGTCTCCCATCCAGGTACTGACCAGGCTCAGCCCTGCTTAGCTTCAGTGGGAAACCAGTCTTGGGCTACAGGGTGATATGGCTGCCGGTATTAAAGGAATAATTCACCCAAAAATGAAAACTTGCTGAAAATGTGCTCGCCCTCAGGCCAACCAAGATGTAGATGAGTTTATTTCTTCATCAGAACAGATTTGGAGAAATGTAGCATTATATCACTTGCTCACCAATGGATCCTCTGCAAAACAGCTGATAAAAACATCACAATAATCCACACCACTCCAGTCCATCAATGAACATCTTGTGAGGAGAAAAGCTGTGTGTTTTTAAGAAACAAATCCATCATAAAGACGTTTTTAACTTCAAACCGTGTTAGTGTTTTTTAATCAAGTAAAAAATAAATAAACTAGTATATACAAAGCATTTTATTCTTTTCAATATAACATAAAAATTTAATAAAACACACACAAAATAAATAAATAAAAAAAGTGGCATGTATGGCTTTCATATTTTGTGAAATAAAAAAAATTATTAAATCTGTTTTGCTGGGGAAAATACTTTAAACAGCTATGCATAAACAGACCTTTCCAGATCAAGCACAAAAGCAACTTGGAAAATGAAATAATGTTTATTAGATATCATGTACATTATAAATAAATAAACAATGCTTTTAAATTGTTGAACACCTCATTTTGTCTCGGGCTGCACGCACCATAACTCAGAAATTTGGTCCAAAACAAGTTTAATCTCTGAGCGATCAACACTTGTTCTTAAGACACAAACTGGTGTGTAGTTTAGATCCACGTGCAGTGGAAGGGATTTGCAGTCCTGGCAGTAGTTCAGCTCCAGTTGTTGCAGTAAATATTTGTTAGGTGTTATGATGACGAACACATACACAGATACAATAAACAGCTGTCCCCAATAATACAAATGTACAGAAATTACAATAATACTAGTACACTGTAATTTATACAGCTACAGTCGGTACATTGTACTGCACTTGAGGATTTGCTGGATTTGTAAGTACAAGAAGGCTGCACTTGTGTACAGTAGCTACTCTATATTACAATACCATACAAAACAAGTTAAAAGAAACATCTTGTATAACTTGAAACATGTAGAATACTTAACATGACATCTTTTTTTTTTGTATTTATACAAAGCACACATCAATAAGTTGTGTAACAAAACTGACTGTAATTTGCATATAGTCTGGTGTACACTAGAGCTCAGTGTCATATCACATGATCTGATTCACTGTGATGAATTTGACCAGCTACATTACCTAAAATTAAATGCAAATTTAAACTTAAATGTAAAATCAATGGATCATCATGGGGTGTTCTGGACAGTCACTATGGTAGTATTTTGTGGTATATTGTTCTGGGTTGTTGCTAGGGTGCTGTTGGCAGTTGCTAAGGCATTGCTATGTCTAGGTGGTTACTAAAGTGCTCTGAGTGGTTGCTATGGTGTTGTAGGTGGTCACTAGGGTGTTGCTAAGTGGTTGCCATGACGACTAAGTGATTGATGGGGGTCTGCGGCAGTTGCTAATGGAATGTTCAGGCAGAACGCGTTTTTGCATTCAACGTGCTGTTTTTCCATTGCTTTTCTATGTAAACATGCGCGTGTAAAAACGTGGCGCTCAAGTTAAGCTTTTTTTAAAAATGCACTTGACCTTGTGCGTTTTCATTCCTCTGCCCTGCGTCTCACAGGTTGCCATGACGACTAAGTGATTGATGGGGGTCTGCGGCAGTTGCTAATGGAATGTTCAGGCAGAACGCGTTTTTGCATTCAACGTGCTGTTTTTCCATTGCTTTTCTATGTAAACATGCGCGTGTAAAAACGTGGCGCTCAAGTTAAGCTTTTTTAAAAAATGCACTTGACCTTGTGCGTTTTCATTCCTCTGCCCTGCGTCTCACATTTTAGCATTCAACTGCGCTGCTTTTACATTGTTTTTTTTTTTTATGTAAGCATGTGCAAGACGGACGTTTTTTTGGCGGGTTCTTTTGCTGTGTCTAGTGATGACAGCCTTCGAAATATCAGCGCTAAATTCATCCATTTAAAAAAACTTCTATGAACCTTGCTTTTTTCTCTATTCCACCACACTGCGTCTCGCCTTTCTAAACGTAAAGAAAAGCATTCTGTGTGAATGGCTCCTAACATGTTTTTGCA